TCAAATAGGTGCCATCTTTTTCCTGGGTCAATTCTAAGACTAACTGCTATCTTACTTTCTGCTGAATGGACCCCTGCGCCTTGGAAATAAACCTCTTTGTGTGGAACCTTATGTGGGAACCAAAGGTTTCTTTCCATGGTCCCACAATACAACGATGTTCATGTTTCCTTTTGTGTGCATTGCCCCCAACCTGGAAGCCTGTCAATCTTGGGAAGTCTCTCATTATCACCCCTTGGGACCCCTGATCACTGGCAGGCCAATCTGGCTACTCATGAATTGGATTTATGAATTAACCTCCTGTTTTTATGTTTTTTACTTTGGCTACTCAATGCTCCTATGAACTTTTATGGACTTTTGGCCAACTTTTATGAACTTTGATGGACTTTGGGGTGGCTGAGATTAATTTTCCCTTGACCTTGATATGCATGTAGGTCTGTATAAAATATGAAGCAAAGTGACCTTTTCATTAACTATACCAGCAACACATGGCTCTAGGGACTTCAGGATTTCCTGAGCCAGTAATCCCCTAACAAAAGGACTTGGCAAAAACCATTTCAGATGGTCTTATTGACCAGACCATCCAGGATGATGTGGCCCATTGACATATTGAAGCATTCAACACAAAAGGCACTTATGTGTCACTGCCTCCCCCATTGTGCCATTTCCCTGTCTCTGAAAAGGTATCTCAACTCCCATCATCAAAGAAATATTACAGAACTCTAATACAATGGAACTGGCTCTTCGGAGCTAGACAGAAGATGTTATTTCAAGACTCAGTACAATAGCCTGGGCTGAAGCTTGAAGACTTAAGCTATCGCTTTGGTACTGTTTGGATGGGCCCAAAGGAAATGAGAAAAAGGTGGTTCAGTAGAAACCAGAACTTATGGACTGCACCTAGGTGCATTTTATGTTTGCTCAATCAGTACTGGAACTCCCCATTTCGTGTTCTACTAAACTCTCGCCTTCTTTTTAGAAACTGACCAATCAGAATCAAACATCTAAAACCCTAGATAAAAAAATTCCGTAATTTCCCATTGCAGGTACATACAGACATTTGAAGATGCGAATATTCGGCTCAAAACCGCGATATTCCCACAACTTGAAATCTCATGTTTTTTGCCTTTTGTAGTTAGTACTTCCACATTTACAGAGAACGGCGTCTGGCCACCCTCCTGTTTGCTGCAGGAGCTCCTGGGATAAGGATACTGTCTGGACAGGCATGGAGGGAGAAATCCCGGGATCAACAGGTCTGTATGTGGACCTCTTCTGAAGCCCCAGGATTTTTGCCCCTATTTCAAACCTGTGATTTTGTGCTGTCAGGAAGCACCCTTTGTTGGAGCTCATATGTATTGCTCCTGGATCAGAATAGGAGAAAGAAAGTTTGTTGAAGAGGTTGGACAGGTGGACAACCTCCCTTTGCCTATGGAATATCATTCATATGGATGATAAAATTTCTTCTCTCACTTATCGCGAGTGTTACGTTCCAGGACCACCCGTGAAAAGTGAAAATTCACAAAGTAGGGACGCTGTATATGTATATCACATTCCGAGGGTTAGGCAGAAGCAAGGAGAGATTTAAAGTCATCGCACACCATTTTTTTGCTAGCTGTCTCTGCTTTGCTTTGCAATCGCTCTTGATTGGCTGCCTCTCTCCCGAGGGGGAGGGTGAAACCCCCTTCCACACTGTATTGCTGCCAGGAGGCGGGATTAGAACGCTGCTCTGAGCAACTGCAACCATTCATAAACTGGGAGGCAAAAACCCACGAAACAGCGAGTCTGCAAAAAGAGAACCGCAAAGTAGCGAGGGAACACTGTATCTGCTTTGAACTGGGTTATCTGAATCCACACTGCCATATAATCCCGTTCAATGTGGATTGTATACAGCTGTGAGGAAGGGGCCTGAATCTGTTTTGATAATCTGGATTATAAAGCAGTGTATGTGTCTTGTGCAGGACTGAAGATTTACTTCCAAGAATGAAACTGTGTTTTGTGCAGCACTGAAAGTTTACCTTAAGGGTAAAAAAAACCAAAAAAAAAAAAAAACCATACGTTTGGTGAGATCATAGAATCATAGAGTTGGAAGAGACCTTGTGGGCCATCCAGTCCAACCCCCTTCCCAAGAAGCAGGAAAATTGCATTCAAAGTACCCCCGACAGATGGCCATCCAGTCTCTGTTTAAAAGTCTCCACCACACTCTGGTGCAGAGAGTTCCACTGCTGAACAGCTCTCACCGTCAGGAAGTTTTTTCTCATGTTCAGGGGGAATCTCCTTTCTTGTAGTCTGAAGCCATTGTTCCGTGTCCTAGTCTCCAGGGCAGCAGAAAACAAGCTTGCTCCCTCCTCCCTATGACTTCCTCTCACATAATTATACATGGCTGTCATGTCTCCTCTCAGCCTTCTCTTCTTCAGGCTAAACATGACCAGCTCTTTAAGCTCCTCCTCATAGGGCTTGTTCTCCAGACCCTTGATCATTTTAGTTGCCCTCCTCTGGACACATTCCAGCTTGTGAACATCTCCCTTCGTTTGTGGTGTCCAGAATTGGACACAATATTCCAGATGTGGTCTAACCAAAGCGGAAAAAAGGGGTAGCATGACTTCCCTGGATCTAGACACTATATTGCTATTGATGCAGGCCAAAATCCTATTGCCTTTTTTGCCACGGCATCACACTGTTGGCTCATGTTTAACTTGTGGTCCACGAGGATTCCAAGATCTTTATCACAAGTTCTGCGCTCGAGCCAGGCGCCCGTCATTCTGTATCTTTGCATTTCATTTTTTCCTGTCTGAGTGGAGTAACTTACATTTGTCACTGTTGAACTTCATTAAACATGTACTTTGTTTAGGCTACAGCAATTGCCTGGGGACTATTTTGGCTACACACAGGGTTTATTTATTTATTTCGTATCAGTATAAAACTGATAAAACTAGAAGGAGCACAGGCAGCTAAATATATTTTGACCAAAAACAGGTAACAGCAATGGCATTGTCTGTACTTACTTAGGCGATCCCTCGTTGTCCGAGTAGGATAGTCTTCCAGGGTCAGTGTCCTGGTGGTGGGTCCGTAGGTGACTGTGTAGCCCTATTCTTGATCTGAATCTTCTCCCACAGTGAGGGCATTGGTTTCCAGGTGGAAGGCGGTCCCGGTTGGCTTGACATGCCTTCCTCTTGGCACGTTTCTCTCTTTTGCCCTTTGCCCTCCATTCGTGCCTCTTCGAATTCTACAGCATTGCTGGCCACAGCTGACGCCCAGCTGTAGCGCTCAAGGGCCAAGGCTTCCCAGTTCTCGGTGTCTATGCCAGAGTTTTTAAGGTTGGCTTTGAGCCCATCTTTAAATCTCTTTTCCTGCCCACCAACATTCCGTTTTCCGTTCTTGAGTTTGGAGTAGAGCAACTGCTTTGGGAGATGGTGGTCGGGCATCCTGACAACGTGGCCGGTCCAGCGGAGTTGATGGCGGAGGACCATCACTTCAATGCTGGTGGTCTTTGCTTCTTACAGCACGCTGACATTTGTCCGCTTGTCTTGATTTGCGGCATTTTCCAGAGGCAACGCTGATGGAATCGTTCTAGGAGTTGCATGTGACATCTGTAGACAGTCCATGTTTCGCAGGCATACAGCAGGGTTGAGAGGACAATAGCTTTATCTGTAGCCTCCAACCAGGCATGTAGCTTGGGTGGGGGGTGGGGGCTTGAGCCTCCCCTGAAATTCTCATTGTGGTCCGCGAGAAGGCCTTACTGGTACATTATTTAAACTGTTATGTTTATTCATATCATGATCTGTTCATCATGCTCAATATATCCCATATGCATGGGGGCATTGGGGTAATGATATAAAAGGTTTGCTAGGGTAGACCCTCTTTCACTCAGACTCAGCTCCCTCCCCCCCCCCCAATCAAAATCCTGGCTAGGGGTTCCTCCTAAAGATTGCTAGCGACGGGGCCTGTCTGATGTCCTCAGGGAGAGAGTTCCAGAGTCGAGGGGCCACCACCGAAAAAGCCCTGTCCCTTGTCCCCACCAATCGTGCTTGCAATGCAGGTGGGATCATGAGCAGGGCCTTTCCAGATGAACAATTGTGTGGATGGCCATCCAGTCTCGGTTTAAAAGTTCCACTGCTGAACAGCTCTTCCTGTCAGGAAGTTTTTTTTTCTCATGTTTCTCATGCATTACCTGTAGCCTGCAACAATTCTTCCTCTGTACATGAGGCAGGGCATAGAGGACAAGCATAAAGATGCGGAATTGTCTGTTCTGCTCCAGTCACACAAGGAGTGGGATTCTTTTAGGTAGTGCCATTTTGCCAGGTTGCCTTTTGATCTGCCCACTCCACTTCTGAGTCTGTTCAGGGACTTCCAAGTTGCCCATTCTTAGTTTGCCCCTGCAACAATTCTTCCTTTGTACATGAGGCAGGGCATAGAGGACAAGCATACAGATGCAGAGTTGTCTGTTCTGCTCCAGTCACACAAGGAGTGGGATTCTCTTAGGTAGTGCTGTTTTGCCAGGTTGCCTCTTGATCTGCCCACTCCACTTCTGAGTCTGTTCAGGGACTTCCAAGTTGCCCATTCTTAGTTTGCCCCTGCAACAATTCTTCCTCTGTACATGAGGCAGGACATAGAGGACAAGCATACAGATGCGGGGTTATCTGTTCTGCTCCAGTCACACAAGGAGTTGGGATTCTTTTAGGTAGTGCCATTTTGCCAGGTTGCCTTTTGATATGGCCACTGCACTTCTGAGTCTGTTCAGGGACTTCCCATTCTTGGTTTGCCCCTGGAGGAAGACCCTCCTGGGGGGGGGACATCCAGTTGGGATTTCCTGGTTTAACACGCAGGATGATAATAGATGCTGTTAGGTTGGTGTGAGGAGAAAGAAAGGGGCGGGAAAGACGCGCGCGAGGCAACAGGCGAAGAGACCCGAGCGCCGCTTTGGCGCCTTTTTTGTTTTGGAGTCGAGGAAAGAGGAGGGGCCAGAGGAGACTCTTTTGGTGGAGGGGGCGTGGCTTCTCCGCTGCCTCGCTCCGTCGCGCGCCACAGTCGCCAGAGAACTCGAGGAGGTCGGTCAGTCAGTCAGTGAGGAGGAGAAAGCGCTGAGGCGATATCATGCCTGCTGCTGCGCCACCGCCTCCTTTGCTGGGGGGAACCTGCAGCTGCCCTCATTCCCACCAACCAGGTAAGTGCAGGACTTTTCATATTTCCCCCCTGTACTTTGATTGGTATGGTCCGAGGAGAAGGCAGCGGGGTCTCGGCTATCCTGCTGGCAGAGGCGAAGGGTCCAGCCAGGAGCGCGCATGCGCTCTCTCCTGGCTGGACCCTTCGCCTCTGCCAGCAGGACAGCCGAGACCCCGCTGCCTTCTCCTCAGATTAGACCAGCTCTCCCCCTTCCCTTCTTCTTATCTCTCCTTCTGCGTGGATCCCCGCCTCCCTCTTCCACCAATTTCAAATCCAGGCTGCTGTCTGCTTTCATTCCTTCTTGCCGAAGGGAGATCTGAGGGGGGAAAACGTGCCCAAGGAAAACGTGGCGGAGTGAATCCCTCTCCCGCCTACGAAGGACGAGCCAGATGCCTAGGCAACTCTTCCTCCTCCTCCTCAGCACCCCCTCCCCTTCCCTTTCGCTCCTTATTATTCAGAAGACCCAAGTCTCGCCTTTTGTGGGGTGACTTGGGAGGACTGACGCCCACTCACTCACTCACTCACTCAATGGGATTTTCCATCGCAGAGATGGTGACATAGACTGAAGTGGTCTAACTTTTTTGGGGGGAGAGATTTCCTCAGCTTGGAAGAAGTAGTCTTTGTCATCTGCAATTCCCAGAACTCTCTTCAAAAACATCTATCTGTCTGTCTGTCTGTCTGTCTATCTGTCTATCTGTCTATCTGTCTATCTGTCTATCTCTCTATCTCTCTCTCTATCTATCTATCTATCTATCTATCTATCTATCTATCTATCTGTGAGAGCCGTTCAGCAGTGGAACTCTCTGCCCCGGAGTGTGGTGGAGGCTCCTTCTTTGGAAGCTTTTAAACAGAGGCTGGATGGCCATCTGTCAGGGGTGATTTGAAAACAATATCCCTGCTTCTTGGCAGGGGGTTGGACTGGATGGCCCATGAGGTCTCTTCCAACTCTTTGATTCTATGATTCTATCTATCTATCTTCCTATCCTATCCTATCCTATCCTATTTATTTATTATTTATTTATATTAATATTAATATTATTAATTATAATATTATTATATTTATTATTATTTATATGTTATTTATTTATTTATTATCAGTTCTATTTATTTTTTTACTTACTGTATGTTTACCCTGCTCTATCTCAACCCCAGGAGAGACACAAAGCTGCTTCTGAATTGGCAATAATTCAATGGCACAATAAACATAAACATTCAATATATATTATTTATTAAAATCAATAATATAATAATAATAAAACCTTAACATACTGTGTCCAATTCTGGGCACCACAATTTAAAGGGAGATGTTTAGGCTGCAGAAGAAATGGCTGAGAGGAGGTATGATGAGGGCCATTAAAATCAGTAATACATCATAAAAACTACAATGTACTGTGTCCAGTTCTGGGCACCACAATTTAAAGGGAGATGTTGACAAGCTGGAATGTGTCCAGAGAAAGAGGGTGACTAAAATGATCAAGGGTCTGGAGAACAAGCCCTATGAGGAGCGGCTTAAAGATCCGGGCATGTTTAGCCTGCAGAAGAAATGGCTGAGAGGAGATATGATGAGGGCCATTAAAATCAATAATAAATCATAAAAACTATGACATACTGTATCCAGTTCTGGGCACCACAATTTAAAGGGAGATGTTGACAAGCTGGAATGTGTCCAGAGAAAGAGGGCAACTAAAATGATCTCGGGTCTGGAGAACAAGTCCTATGAGGAGCAGCTTAAAGAGCCAGGCATGTTTAGCCTGCAGAAGAGAAGGCTGAGAGGAGGCTTGATGGCCATGTATAAATATGTGAGGGGAAATCTTGGGAGGAGGGAGCAAGCTTGGTTTCTGCTGCCCTGGAGACTAGGATGTGGAACAATGGCTTCAAGCTACAGGAAAGGAGATTCCCCTTGAACATTAGGAAGAACTTCCTGTGATAGCTGTTCAGCAGTGAAACTCTCTGCCCTGGAGTGTGGTGAAGGCTCCTTCTTTGGAGGCTTTTAAACAGAGGCTGGATGGCCATCTGTTGGGGGTGCTTTGAATTCGATTCTCCTGCTTCTTGGCAAGGGGTTGGACTGGATGGCCCACGAGGTCTCTTCCAATTCTATGATTCTATATCAACATGTTATTCTAGCTATGTATTCTAGCTCTGCTTCTGTTTTCGGCACATCCACAATGTTGAATTACCGCAGTTTAACAGCACTTTAAAATGCCGTGGCTCAATGTTATGGAATACTGGAGCCCCTTCCACATAGCTGAATAAAATCCCACATTATCTGCTTTGAACTGGGATATATGGCAGTGTGGACTCAGATCACCCAGTTCAAAGCAGATATTGTGGGATTTTCTGCCTTGATATTTTGGGTTATATGGCTGTGTAGAAGGGACCTGAGAGTTTTTGTTTGGTGAGGCACTCTTTGAAGGCTTAAGAGCTTGTGAAATTACAGCTCCTATAATTCCATAGCATTGAGGCAGGGCAGTTAAAGTCGTGTCAAACTACATTAATGACAGTATAGATTCCCCCATGAGGAACTTTTCACTGATTTACCCGAGGCCCCTTCCACACAGCTGTATAAAATCCACTTTGAACTAGATTATATGACAGTGTGGACTCAGATAAACAGTTCAAAGCAGATATTGTGGACTATCTGCCTCGATATTCTGAGTTATCTGGCTGTGTGGAAGGGCCCTGTGTGCTCAAGATCTTAGCAAAGATCCTGACATAAGGGTATATTCCAGATCCATCACTCATAAAATTGCCATAAGTCAAAGCTGACTTCATTGAAATTAACAGCAATGTCTATTGATTTATAAATCTTATATACTGACTTCCTTCAAGGTATTCAGATGTGATAGTTACCTGCTTTTAGAGAATAAGATGACAACCAGTTCACTGAATAGACTACTAACTAATTTCTGATGAACCTGAATGTCAGACCAGAAAATCTCAATTTGTTCTAACAAGGTGATGTTATGTATGGTGATGATGAAATCACTTCCTATAACTCCTCTCATATCTAACAATAGCTCGAAGCATCTGAGATTACGCACCCACTCACTTAACATTAGTTATGACTAGTTTAGATACCCAGCAATGCCTGGGTTACGTCTTCTGAAATGCTGTTTATCAGAAATAGTCGTTCTTTGCTTTTGATTTTATGAAAGCTTCCATTCACAAATGCATAAGAATGTGGGTGAACTACAATCCCCAACATAGTGTATGAATTTCCGCCAAAGCCCGGCAGCATTCAAAGTAAGTCATGGGGGTGGGGTCTGTGTCCCAATTTTGGTCCATTGTTGGGGTTCTAACGGGTCTCTGGGTGGTGTTTTGGAGTGTTTTGGAGGTGCTTTTGGGTGTATTGGTGTATTAGAGGTGCATTAGTGGTGTATTAATGGTATATTAGTGGCATATTGGTGTATTCAAGGTATATTGGTGACCCCCCCTATCCTTTTGACATTTTATCCCTTGTTCATGATGGGTACTTGTGCCAAACTTGGTCTCTTGATGTGTGTGGACTGCAACTCCCATAATCTTTGGTCCATTCTCACAAATTCCACCAGTATTTTCTGTTGATCATGGGGGTCTGTGTGCCATGTTTGGTCTAGAGATCATTCATTGGTAGGGCTCACAGTGGTCTTTGAATGTGGGTGGACTGCAACTCACATAATCTTGAGTCCCCTGAAACCCAAAATATTTGCAGTTGGTCATAGAGGGGCTGTGTGCCACATTTGGTCCAGATCTGTCATTGGTGGGAGTCACATGGCTCTCTGGAAATTGGAGCCATCTTGGAAATCACCCACAAACATATTTATTTATTTACTGTATTTGTATACCGCCTTTCTCAGTTTGTGTATATACCCACATATACACAAACCTTGACTTTTATTATACTAAAAACTTAAGTACCCGGCAATGCTTGGGTTAGGTATTTTGTAAGGAGGAACATAGGATTTTTTCAGTTAGACCATAAATATTTCCAGGTTGTCTGTAAAAAGCAGACCATAAAGCACTAGCCCCAATTTTTTTTTTTTTACTGAGGCAGGTTATATCTTTTTCATTTACTCACTTATTCTCCTTTACACTGTTAGTACAGGATAATGTAATATTATCTACTAGGATAATATTTCTCAAACTTCTTGAAATGAAAAATCTCTTTGCCAGTAAACTTAACTGTATTTCTCTGGCATTTTAGCCATCATTTATAAAGTTGAGTATATGGAACAATGGTGGCTGGTGGTTGCTCTATCATTGGAGTCGGGGAATCCAATCCATACCAGATTTTCAGATCTTAAAGGAGAGCTGCCAGATGCTAACCCTATCCTCAAATTTCAGCACCTTGGATAGCTCTCTGGCAAGGATTCACTGCCCAGTCTGACAGAAAAATCACCAGCTGACGGCGACATGGAGAACTTAATATGCTGCTATGCACATATTTTTGTGATTGAGGATTTATGGATAGGGGTATTTATGTCACAACAGGCTGTTCTTAGTGTGTGTCAACCACATTAATTTTCTTAGGCAAGTAATTGTTAGGGGTAGTTTTTCCAGTTTCTTCTTCTGAAATATAACACCTAGTATTCTTTGGCAGCACCCCTTCCTAATGCCCAACTCTGTTGGAACTTTTTTCCCTAAATAATGATGTGAGAATGGTACAATGGCACCCCCTCCACCAGTCAATCAGAAATACCCTGTTTGTCTACCTAGGTCTTGGTTTGGAGGGTGGGGGGCACTGTGGAGGAATGCCCAATACTGAGTCTCATTTAGGAGAGGGAAGCAGGATATAAATAAATAATAATAGCATCAGGATCCTGGACATCTTAGAATTTTGAATTCCTATGAGAAGATTATATCTATCCCACATTTTAAAATATTTTTCATGGTGAGAATTAGAGTTAATGTGAGCCATTTCTATCATCAAAACAAAATGAGAATATTTTTCTTCATCTCTGTGCAGAATTGTGAATGTAGTCTTTGGTACTATTTTCTTCAGTGTGGGAAGTACCATGTGAG